CATTTGCTAACCCCCAGCCAACTGGTACCTCCCCAATTAGCCAGGACTGCTGATAAAGGATTGAAAGTGGCTCGGTGTTTGAAAGAGGTCTCTCAGTACTCTTGGGTGGATCCCATTTGGTACTTTCCTTCTCGGCTGAAGACAGGATTGTTCCTGGAGTCTCCTATGTATTTCTGAAGATGCTTATTTTAAGGACTCGGCTTCTTGCTTTCATTTAACAGAGAAAATTTTTTTGATTATTCACTTACGGAAAATAGACCCCGTGGGAGGGACGAAGGCTGGCACGGAATGCATTGACAAGGTTGTGACTTCATTAGGTTTGGAAACTTGTATTATGGACTCAGGGATAATAGAGTTTAGGAGTTCTCTTGAATATGTCAAGCGACCTGTGAAGTGTTTTTTTAATTTAGAATGCCTATGTAATTCTGAGTAAAGTCTTTCATTTCTCTTATCGACATACCCTGTAATTTGGATTGTGCAGAGGGCAGATTCCTTTAGACCTAAAGCAAAATGAGCTAACTGCAAAGGATCCTCTCCTGTCTGCATCAGAGAACTGACCCAGTGGACCTTTCTTAGTCAGATGTTCTTCTGCTTAAATGGTTCTTTACTGAAGCTGCCATCTGCGTGGAGATGTCCTTAATAGTTGGTGATGATCGGTCATTGCATGTAGGAATAATGGTAATTATGCTGGAACAGTTTCCAGAGAAGAGAAGGATTGAAATTGGATTTTAATTTTAGAAACGAATTACATTCTACCACTTGCCTTCTGATCTCCCACCACATCATCTACTTATGACAAAGTGGTTTAGTGTTTGTGTGTGTTGTTTCTGCACTCTGAGATCTTCAGCTGCTGTTTGTATTTACAAAAATCCTGTATTGGATCTAAGTCACTCCTGGATTTTAGATTTGTAAGTCACCCCCACGCCTAGATGTTTAGATTTGGAAGTCACCCCACGCCTGGATGTTTAGATTTGGAAGTCACCCCACGCCTGGATGTTTAGATTTGGAAGTCACCCCACGCCTGGATGTTTAGATTTGGAAGTCACCCCACACCTGGATGTTTAGATTTGGAAGTTACCCCTGTTGGAGAAGACAAATTTTCTCATGCATTCTATACCAAAATATGCCGTGTTTGACATAGGTGCTACCATTCCAAATCCAATGAGTCTGATAGCAAAAGCAGTTATTTCTGTGGAATTTATTCAGTATTTGAAGATGGCCACCTTGATATTTATTCTGAGAAGTGTTTATTTTAGTGCTGTATCTTTGCTTGGATAGAGAAGCTCATGGATAGAAGCGTGAACAGAAGAACTCAAGAGAATCCCATGACTGGATATTGGGGTAGTTGTGGGAATTTTACTTCTGTCCCTTTTGCTGTATTTTACTTTTAGTTCAGCCTAGCTGTGTGGGTCCCCTCAGTCTTCCACTTGCATTAAGCCAGCCTAATAGGAGATGAAGTGGTTGTTGAGCTGGACCATTCAGTGCTGTGAAACTAACTGAAGTTCGCAGGATAGTTGTAAGGGCAGGAGACATCCAAAAAAGAGCTGTAGGTGCTGTAGTGAAGACCAGTTGTGGCCCTACTGCAACTTATCTGCCAACAGCTGTGTGAACTGCACCTTAAGGTGTGCCTTGCCAGCAAGTCAACAGGGTTGGCTTTTCCCCTGAAATTTAAATTAGCTCTGTGGGTCAGATGTCCTCAAATCTTGGCTGGCCTGCGGGCAGACGACTTGGGTCATGCTGCAAACCATAGGTATTTCAGTATGAGAAATGTTCCTGGGCTTTTGAAATGTTTATGACAAATGTTCCTGTGCTTTTGAAATACCAAGATATTTGCCTCTGCAACTCGAGCAGAAAGGTTTCCTTCAACGTTCTGGTTCTGTTCCAGTTTGCACAACTGCACATTCCCTCCAAGTCTAGTGGGATATATCCAGCCTAAAACTGGCATATGATTTTAGTGCCGTACAACAAGCTACATCACCTCCTCATAGTTCCAGGTATTTGGAACTCAAACTTGTTTCAGAACTGGTGCAAGTGGTGTTTTGATATGCAAAGGAGTAAGTGGCATTAATAAGACTCTCTGATTGCTCTAGGGAGACAGTGGCTGAAGCTCTTCTCAGTGATGGCTTTCTCATCCCAAAGATGGATTGTCTGAAAATGCTAAATATCAAGTATGAAGGTTAGTGTTTTGGGCACCACATAAGTAAAAAGTGCATAGCTAGTGTTATGTCCAAGTCTGTTCTTTTTTTCTCATTATATTGAAATCTGTAATTCTCTGCATGTTTTTCATATATCTGGGTCCTTAAACATCTTTTGACCTGTTCTCCAGACCTCTTTATGGCCATGCTTAGCTATTGCTTTTGCATAAATCTCTTACCCTGGAAGGATAGCTTTTCAGCACTGAATGCTGCCTGGCCAAAATGTCTTTCAAAGCTTGCATCTCTGCCCTTATCTGCAATAGTTACTGATTTCATGAACTCCCACTAGTTTCTTTTCTACATTGAAGATTTGAAGCAAACCTAAATGGTTTTTTTTGAGCCTCATCACCAGTTGCATCTTAGTTCCATGCTGCTGCCCACACGTGTGGAGTTGCATGGATTTTCTGCAAGAGAATTAGGTACCTAGAGGCAACGAAAATTAATAATTTTTCTATTTCCCTGGGACCTCTTGGAAACACCAGCCAAAGAACTTACCAAGAAAGATCCTCAAATTTCTGTGACTGTATTACAGTAGTAAAAATTTAGGAGCTTTTTGATTCTATGTTGCTTTCCTCAATGTGCCTTCTCTTTGCAGTGTATTTTTAGACAGAATAGCTCTTCATTATGTCTGAAATAAGCTGAAACTGGAAAGGCATTAGCAAAACAGGAGGATTTCCCTGTGGTTTACCATGTGATTAGATCAGGCATTGTATTTTTTGCTTTCACTGAGCTGTTGTGTTAATTATCAATTTGCTGCTTATTTTACTTCCCTAGCATAAGAAAATAATAATTCCAGCTTCAGTGAGGATGCCAGGAAGTACCCCGGAACCAGTGATCTCAGAACAAACTACTTCAGTTTGGAACAGGTGTCACACCTGTGGTTCACAAAAAATTACAAAACAGTGATTTTTGGCTTCTTTTTTTTTTTTTTTATTGCAGCAAATAAAGAGGTATGGCAGTTCAGAATTCCTCAGACATTTTACTGCTTTTGGCAGCCTTTGCTGACAGGCCTTCTTTCCCGAAGTTTTACACAGATCCTAATAGAGAAAATGTTTATGGAGTTGAAGGAATGTTCTGACTCTTCAGAACTCCGGCCTCAGTTCTTGATCAGCTGGATTTCTGAGATGCTGACTGGCATTGCCAAAGTAAACGCTGGTGAGTATGTGTCTGGAATTTCTGCGTGTAAAAAGAAAAAAAAAAAGAAGTCTCTTCTGTACTATTGTGAAAACTGGGACAGTGGTGTGAGCTTTAGATGGAAAGTGCAATAATCCAATTATTACATTTTGTCATGTGAACGTAGAGCTTTTATTGTTGCATTTCTTACACTTTTCAACCTGCAGCTTGTATATGTCATGCATTTCTTAGCAAAAAATTGAAATTGTTAATGGCAGCTTTGCTGCAGCCTCCTCAAGATAGGAAAAGCCAATCTCTCCCATGAAAGGTCGGGCCCTTAAGTGCTATTTTTTCCAGATACTAGTACTTGTAGGAAATAACAGTAGTAGATAACAAACAAAGACGTTATATGCAACCTATTATGAGTTCCCTGTTCCATTTCTCTCCTCACTTAACAGAAGCCTGGCTTTGCAAGATACTTATATAGTCTTGCTGTCCTTTTTTAATCCTATCACAGGATTTTCATGCCTTCTAAACTTACACAAAAGTAATAAGTAATATTTTGTTTTCTGCTCCTAACTCCTTAGAACTGTTTAAATTGGCAAACTGTATGTTTCGTTTCAGAGTCAGGAGAGCTTTAATTATTCGAAGTGTGTCACAGGAGTTCTGTTAACAGGACTTCTATACTGCAATATAGTGTATCCCTGAGGAGGTTTCCAGCTGGTTAATTTTGCCACCTCTTCTGTCCTCTCCTGGTCTGGCTCAGTCTGCACCAAGATTTTGCCAGTAATTGTGGCAGTCATGGATTCATGTTTGATGCTTTCAGTCATTGCTGAGCATATCTATTATGTACCAAGATTCCTGAATTGTAGTAGTTCCCAGCTGTTAAGTCTACTCGTTGCAGTACTATCTGGAATGATCTCAGGTCCCAGAAGCAGTATACTGCGTTTATTTGGGACAATACTGTACAAACACACCTTGTGGCTTTCCTGTCTGGGCTGGCACGCACAGAACCAGCTTGGGAACGTCTGCATCTCACTGTGGTCATGTCTTGTGGAGCTAACCTAGCTGTCAGTGCATTGGCAAGTCCCTTGTAACAACCTTGATGTATTTGGTCAGTACATCTGGTCTTGGACTTGGATTGGAATGCCAACTTATTTGAGGATAAGTGTTCCAGTAAAAATGCAGAGGGATAAAGGGCATATTTTTAATGAGTTTTGAGCACCTTGTTGTTTTTATTATCTTCTTTGAAGGGAAGAAAAGACAACACTGTAACAAACAGGTATCCGTGAAGGAGCTGTTCCTCCATAAAGTTCCTTTGCAGTGGATAAGACTGACGGATAATTGCTTGGAAGCTCCCTGCTGGGCAACCCCACACCTTCTTCAGCTGTAAGTTTGATCCTGTGACCTAGAGGAGGGACAGCAAACAGTGTTCTGTAACAGCTTTGGCCAGCTCCCTTGTGATATGCTGAGTTATAGCTGCGTTCCATTCCCTTCCTTTGCATCTAGTAGAAATTGTGGCAGGTGCATATAAAACCCTGCTTGTTGCTGCTCATCTCCCCCTTGATTCTACAAAGAGAAGAAGGAGGAGAATTTAAAAGGATTGCACCTTCAAAATGAAAGTGGAGATTATCTGGGGAGGTATTAAAGAAGCAACCTGGTCAGAAGAAAGGTGACTTGGTAGCAGAGATGTGACTGCTTATACAGGTGATAGGAATTTAGCACAGGTGGTAACTTTTTCACATGAAAACAGCAAAGCAGGAATTCAGTTAGAAGTATCCCAAGTCTTTAATTTTAATCACAAAGAGGGAGCATTCCAGCATCCACCCACCAGGGAATAATCAGATTTGCCTGTTAGAGGAGATATGTGAGCGAGCTGTCCTGGAAGAAACCCACACTTAAAAGGCTGCTCAGCTTGATAAACTTTCATCTGGAATCTTTTTTGCTTTTAAGACTTTTACATTGCCCTTTTCCTTTCTAGGATCCTCACAATCATGAGACCTCGCTTGCCACGTTCTTCGCGGAAGAACCTTCTCTATCTTGCTTCTGTTTACACGGAAGGAGGTGGCCCTTTGTCCAGTCCAGGACTCTCTTCAGACTGCAGTGAACAGCCAATTTACACTATAGAGAGCTTACAGTGGAGGGCCAGGCAAGAAAATCAGGTTAAAAATCAAGGGCAGACTGTAGAGAAACAAGAAGATGTGCTGGATAGAGATGATGGTGTAGAGGAGGTGGAGGAGGAGGAAGAAGAGATGGTAACTGAAACAAATCCTTTGGAAGGACTTGCTCATTCTGGTAGCATGGTGGCTATTGCTGAGAAAAGGGCAGCACTGCAAGGATCCGCCTGGCAGATCACTGCAGGTAAAAAATGACTTTGTAAGACTTAGACAGTCTTCGTCACTGGCAAATGTTAATCGAAATGCAAAGGCATCTCAGCCCTCTGGGCCTGGCCAGAATTGAAGTGTGCTTCAAAATCATCTAAATGCCAAATCACTGAAAACTGGTTTTTTTTCCAGTCTTCTGTTTATGTGCAGCAGTCATCTCTCTTAAACTCTTAAAATACTGTGAGTGCTTTTTCCAGGAGCGTTTTGTTAGTGCCTCATTAAATTCTTTATCAGGCTTTTCCAAATTGTTTAAAATTTCAATGTATCCAGTTGGTGGGGCAGCATATATGCCAGCAAATGGCAAAGAAAATATGGATGTTTCTTGGACTTGTGTTTGTCAGAGTTGGGGGTATTTGAAAGCACAGTTTGGCTGTGCTGGAAAGCACCAGTCATGTGCTCATAAGTTCCATGCTCCAGGAAAATTGCTGTTATGACATGGTGGCAAGCAAAAGAAAGGAGCAAGGCAAGTTTTTAGAGGGAATAAACAGTATATCCAGTGTTTTGTTAGCTTTATTACGGTAGCTGGACTTTCTCCTTGGGGTGGAGGGTTCTGTAGCTAAGAAGATTTTTGGATGAGTGATTTATGGAGGGACTTGAAGACAGGAGGAGGAGGTTGGTGGAGAGGAGTTGGAGGCAAGGTGATATTTAAAGGAAGAAGAAGAAGAGAGCCATTAGAAGACAATGAACTCTTGTACCCCACTCACAGGGAAATTTTCCCAAGTCAAAAAAAAAAGAAAAAAGAGATCTGCCTAAGCAGCTTGGCTTAGTTATGCTGATGTTAACAGCTTGTTAGAGCTGGACATTTTGAGAACAGAAGCAAAGTTGTCCTCTGCTTCAGTGACTTTGGTTCAGATCAAGCAAAGCTTTCACAGAAGGAGCACTCATTGTGTCCTGAACCACCTGATTTTTGTGAAGATTCTGTTTATGTAGTTTTTCATGAGTAAACTTAATTTCTGTTTGAATAACATCTGTGTAGTTACCATCCTTAAACAATTTGAAACTATAGCCAGTAGGTATGTACAAACCCATGACAACATGTGGTATATAAACTATTTACTAGGTTGTTCCCCAAAGAGAGGGCTTAGCCTGTTAAATATATATAATGGTAATTTGCCTTAGAGTGGCGTTGGATGTTACCAAGTGCTATTTCTGCCCCTTTTTTAAGATTTTTGTAAGATTATAACACTTAGAAAGCACTATCCTGTATCAAGATTTTTTTGTTCTATTAAATGCCCAAGACTGGTATAAAAGGAAAAACAAATAAATCTGCTGGTTCTTTAGGGCAATGCTTGGGTTTTTGAGCAGATATCAGGTACACAAAACAAATCAGTTTCAGGCAAAGAGAAGGAAATGGCCAAGTTGTACGTGATTAGCAGGGGTCTCAAATAGTCTGTGTAATTATTGCTGGCTCTCTGGAATGAAGTGTCTTACCTTCTGAAGGCTTCTGTCTGCTAGTCTTCGCTGAGCTGCTAGTAAGCATTCCAGAAATAAGTGTTCTGATATCAGGAAAGCACATAGGCTTAAGAAATCTTATTGTCAAAACAATGACACATAATAATTTGTATCTTTCATTTAGTTAGATGTGAAATAAGAATGAAATTTAAAGGGGGATTTCCTTTGGTATGGAGTTCCTATTGTGAACTGCCTTTGAAATTTTGGCACCACAATATAAGGGAATGGACTCACTGATGTTATCAGTTGTGATGGATGGTTTCCCATTGTGCAGTTTCTGTCCCCCATTGGAACGCAAATTTAACAAATGCGAGGTCATGGACAGGAAACAGCAATGGGTGCTCATAAAAAAAAAATAGCAGAATTTCCAAGACATTGTCATATTCTTTTTATTTGCCATCTCATCCCAGCCCACCTGTCTGTCCAGAATTGCTTTATTGGTTAGGCTTCCCCAGCCTTATACTCGTCTACTTTCGTGGCTTCGGTTCTTCTTTAGTCACTGTTGCACTGTTGCTGTGCAGCTGCTAATCTCAGCAAGTTGTTAAGATGCTTAGTCTCACTGGAGGCATGAGCTACTGGATGCAAAGGTGCTGGTTTGTGTCTTCATATGTGTACAAATGACTCTTTCCATTTACACAAGTGTCCTGGTGTCCAAACGCTGCGCAGCGAGCGTGTGGCGTTTGGCTGCCTGCCAGGTTAAACCACAACATTTTAAAATTAATGTATGTAAGTCAGTGTGTATGTTTCAAAGGAAAGTAAGTTTAAAAGAGGAAGGTAAATATGAAAGGTTGCTCCAGAACACTGTGGGGTTTCTTTTAATGGGCATTGTCTCACAGTGGTTTGGATGAGCTGCACTGTGTAGACTGTGTGCTGTTACATGACTCCAGATGTGTCCCTGTTGTCTCACATACTACAGTGACTTGCTTTGGAAGAGATAGCAAGGTTAGAAACAAAATTAGTTAAAACTATGGTTCAAACTTATTTTTGCTGCATACCTGAGATTGTTCATTTTTGCTGAATGGCTGAGTTACATGAGACAGTATTTGTGGACTTGGGGGGGATCTTGTTTTTTGAAAATCTTTCTGGGGAGCTCAGACTTCTTGTTTATGTACTGTTTTTACCCAGATGAAGTACGATGGAAAGACTTTCCTCTCGGGAAACTCCCAGGTCAGACAGATGACCCTGATGGTCTTATGTTGGATAATTATTCCATGATGTCCCTGCTTGATCAGCCAGTGAGAGATGAGTGGAAGTCTCCTAATACAAAGTGAGTAATGGTGTGGGCAGGACTTTGCCCCTGAACAATGAAATGCATTTGTCTCTTTGTGCCTTGTACTATATGATGTGAAAAATTAAGTATGAGATTTCCTTTTTACTTCTGTTTGACTAAATAGTTTGACCCAAATATCTACTACTATCTCTAGCATCTACTTCTAGCATGTGCTTCTCGTGCATTTTTCAAGTAATGTGTGTGTTTGGAAGGACCTTTGCAGTGCTGGTGTAATAGCTTAACAGTCTGCTCTTCAGACTGTGCTGGCAACTTCCAGTGTTGTCTAATGCTGTTAGTAAGATACAGTCTGCAGATCCCTTAGAGTTACTAGTCTGGAAGTGCAGAATTTTTAGAACAAGGTACTGAGAGCTGGTGCAGAATCTGCCTGGTGATACTCTGGGATGAATAACTTCAATGGGAAGGACTGTGGCCTTGCAATTAAAGCGTTCAGGAGCAAAGCCTTGGAAGTCATTTAGCCTCCCCCAATGTCAGTTTTCCCAGACTAGCTAATCTTGTATGGAAGAGTCATTCTAAAAGGCACATGGTTTGCTGGAGCACTCTGAGGTGCATTAGTGGGAAAGCCTGAAGATGAGGAGAGAAGGTAGTGGTTGACTGCAGATTACTTTTGTAACACTTGAGGAAGGAATTGGCTGTACATAACTGGGGTGGTGAATATGCTGAGAGTTTCACATCAGTGAATGCGAAAGTGTCTCTTTTCTGTATGCTTGAAATGGAGACTATAGTATGCTTCCTGAGTAAGGTCTATGTCCCAGTTATTCGTCCTCTTGTGAACCCAGCATGAGACAAACTCTCTTCTCCTCACCCTCCCCCACCGCAACAGGAAACTCTCCCTGCTTCTTTGTACTGCATTAGTCTGACAGTATGCTTGCCTTGTTGATGGACACAGTCAGACAGAAGGTATTGCTACCTGTATTGCTGTGGCAACTCACCAGTATCATAGGAAGTTACTTCGTGAAGCCCTAACAGTCATCCTTTGAGGCTGAAAGAATATACTCAACACTTAACTCTCTGCATTTGTCTCCTTCATCTTTTCCTGTCATCAGGTCTGAGAGCTGCTATTTGTAATTGCTGCTATTCTCATTCCCTTCTGGGAATGTACTTTTGTTTTGCACCTCCTTGGGTCTTTTGCACTATCTGAAAGTTAAATGCAGTGACATAATTGGCAATCAAAAACATGATTTCCATGGTATCCTTTGAGGAAGCCAGTTTATAATCATAGAATCATAGAATCAT